ACCAGCTATTGTTGAGAGCAGTTGCAGAAATGAGTAGTTAATTGTTGAGTATTTTTTTTCTTGTATGTGCACATCAGTTATTTTTGCTGTACTCATTTGTGAATTTTAAAGTGTAAATGGGGTCAGTGTAATTCTGGTTGTACATGTTAGGCACAAATAAGATTGTATAATATTCTTGATTTAGAGATTATGGATCTGGTTTAAGGAGGCCTGTTCGGGTGCCAAATTGACAAGGGGTCGACTGTTATAGATTTTGTCAGCTTGACTGGGCCAGGATTCTTTGTGGTTTGGCAGCTGACATAATTACCCCCCTTAAGCTCTAAGATCATGTAATCAACTTTATGATGAGGTCTGCTTCCAATACAGTGAACAAGGTGTGCTTGCTATCTGCAGAAGTCTGGAACTTGTATCTGGCTTGTCCTCCTATCTCCAGGCAGCAGCCTGCTGCATTCCCCACTGCTCCTGGGAGCCATTGGCCATGCAGCTGCCTCTAGCCCGACCTCTACCCCCCAGACTGGACTGACCACCCCTACAACTAGGTGAGCCTTTTCCTGGACAGAAAGCAATACTGATACACACCTAAAGCTTCACTGGTTTTATTTCTTTAGAGAACGCAGTCTAAGACAGTGACCCTGCTGGATTGAAAATACCAGGGCACAACTTCCTCTATCACAGCCACACTCAAGTCACCACAGTAGGACCGACGGACAGAAGAGTGGTAAACGCGACATCCTAGGTCACACAACAGGGAGAGCCCATGTGATTGTTAAAATTTAAATGCCAACAAGCTACTACACCTGTCTCTGGACTCATCTTCTAACATGAAAGTCCCGGAAGAGAACAAGGCTGTTTAGCAGTTTCAACATTCTTCCCATTCACCATGTCTACGGGACCCGTAACTTATTTCAACTCTTTTCGTATTACCTTTGGAATGAGGAGTCCTGGTGTGGCGCTGTAGCCTAATGTATCAGACTGCAAAGTCGTTTGAACTGCAACATCGGTGGTTCAAGTTCACCAGCTGCTCCTTAGAAACCCTACACAGAGTCACTGTGGGTGGGAATCGACTTGAAGGCACTTAACCAGCACCTTTGGAATGAATGACAAAGCATGTCCTCTTCTCAAGGGGGAGTCAGAGAATTAGAGTATTTATACTTTTTAAGTCTATTTACTTTTCTAAGAAGGCATGTATTTACTTGGCAATGACATAGCTGGGGGGATAAAAGGCCTGCCGCTTTCCTCCCCGCTGGGTGTGCTGACACCTCTGGATCTCAGGCCCACACCTGCAGAATGAAGTCTTGGTCATCCTTCCTGAGGATACTTCCTGCTCTCTTCCATCTGGTGAAAAGAATCAAGGTGCACTTCTTTCCAAAATAATAAAACCTAACATACCATTCCAGGAACCTCTTCTGTTTTCTTAAAAAAGAAAAAAACTACAGCTAATTGAAAGAATCTTATAGTCTTATATCTGGTAAACACTCTGTACTGTGTATTAAAAGACTGTGAAACTGCAGTAATTCAGCACTATTTATTAAAATCTGACCTTCACTTTCACCTTCTTAGGTATCTCCATTGACATTTTCATTTTTAATGGGTAACATTTGCTTTCTAGCAACACAGCTAAGCAGTGGAGTATTTTCCAACATTCACTGTTTCCAATGACCACTTAGGCCACAGCATGGCTCACAGACACAGCTGTATGTGAACCCCATCTTAAATACATTGGGGAAGGAAAAGGAGACGGATCAACTGCACATATGGTCCATCCCAAGGAAATGCAAAAGCATGGCATTGCCAAAGGGTACTGTATGGTCACCATGAAAAAGTCTGATGTGAATGCCAAGACGGAGGACACCACACACACACCAAGAGGGTATGAAAAGTCTTACTTTCATAATCATGTTCTCTGGAAAAAGCAGGGCAGGCCTCTCCAGCAAATCTGAAATGGCTTTAGAGCAAGGAGAGGAGGCTGGCTGGAGGTTTTTATTATATTTAGAGGCAGGGCCAAGTTCAAGTTCCTGCCTGCAGTCAGGGGCTTGAACTTCCCACCAGAATCAAAGGGGGGAACAACCAGGCTTCTCAGTTTGTCTACATGTGGGTACATGGGCAGGCGGAGGGGTGAGCTTTAAAATCAACTAGGAAACATCAACAGTGGTGTTGTCTAGGTATGGGGCTATACGATAAGCATTGGACTGTGAACCACAAGGTCAATGGTTCAAGCCTACCTGTTGCTCCATGGGAGAAAGATGAGGCTTTCTGCTCTTGCCAATATGTACAGCTTCATGAAATCTATGCAGGGTCAGTGAGTCGGAACTGATTCGACAGCACTTAACGACAGTCTTAGCCGAGAACATCAGGGCATGAATACGGAGTTCTAACTTGACCCTGTAGGCATTAGGAAGCTATTCAAAATTTTTCAGCAGGGGTCATGGGCCAACACTTGTTAGGTAATCCTGGTGGTGGCAAGTATAAAGGTGTAGAGAATCGGGGGCCAGTAAACAAACTTCACTATTTCTGAAAAGGTGAGACCCAAATCAGGGCAGTAGCAGTATGAATGCAGGAAAGGGCAAGCTGTGGTAGTACTTAGAATAGATTCAGTGACTCAGAATTACTGAGTGCACGCAGAGGACCCAGGGGGTCTGTAGGTACCTGCTTCCAAACAAAAGAAAACCGAGAGGCAGGAATGGAGGGCAAATGCTATTCTAAACATTTAGAGTGCAATCTTGAGAAAGGTCCACAATCTGTCTATAGTGGCTTTAGGTCATTACAAAACCACTGACTTTTGACTTGATTGCTTGACTGCTCAAGACTAAACCCAAGGAAGCCACTACATTGAAGGACCTGACAGTGGAAGAAGAGAAGTCCCAGAGGTAGGTGAAGCAGTCAGGGTGAAATGGGACAAGAAGAAAGGAAGCGAGCAAGCACCCTGTGAAAAACCTGAGCACCGTCAGGGAGCACCGTGTGTAGACCGTGAGCACCTCCAGGGAGCACCCTGTGTAGAAGCTGTCGTACAGGAACTGGACCTACTGTGTACACTTTCACCAATAGTACGAGGGAGTTTCAACACACTTGTGGAAAAATTGTCTCTCCAACATCGATTCTTTGATAAACTTTTGACGTCCCTTGTACGTCATCTAAAAACAGAGAGTGGGAGGGAGGAGGGTGGCCAGGCTCCAGAAGGTTGTTCAGGAAAACACTGAGCATCGGGATGAGGGCTGGGCTCTATGTGTTCAACAAGCTTGGCAATTAGAAGGCTCCAATAACGTCACTCAGGGCCATTTTCAGGACACTCTCCCACTACCACATCCTACCCAGCTACACCCGAATACTGACCAGAACCCTACTCAGAATCTGTCTCCCAGAAAACAGAAAAATGTGCACACACTCAAACCCGGAGTTCAACTCTGAACACAGTCTGACTTTCCAAAAGTCAGATCCCCGTTATACATTTTGATGTAAGTTCTGCATGGACATACACTGTCATTATAAAGGGAACTTCCTAAAGACTTTATGTAATAGCTACAGAGCCTATAAAAGCTACATAGAACACTCAAACAAAAAACTTACAGGTTAAAATTAATCCTACGTGTTATGCCAGATGAAGACATTACTCCATCATTTACCTTTATGTTTCCATGTTTACTAAAAAGAGTTTACCTTGATCCTTTACAGCTCGCACTCCCACCAATCAGTGTTGGCTGATTTTCAACAATATATGGAGAAGCTGAAAGATCAGCCTATAAAGTACTAGCGCTTGTGACCTACCTGACAGAACCTCGTAATCCCTGGGGCCAGCCCAGTCAGTCAGAGGCTCTAAGTTCAGAGACCTTTAGCAGGGCATCTCAGCCTCGCTGACCAAGACGGGCATGACTTGGCAAATGCCCAGTTCAAAATGCCCAGCACACTGTTAATTGTAAATATGAATTTTTTCCTTCAGACCCTAAATGATATATCCGCCCCTCCTCTCCAACTTTCTTCAGCCCATCCGGGTCTCTGTCATGACTGAGACAGTTGTTGGGGTTTCAAAGCCATCAGCAGCAGTCTTCTCTTCTTCCTCCATGGATGGCAGTTCCTGTTAGGCCAGTCAGCTCCGAGTGCAGCAGACTCTGCAAACCCTCCTAACCACACATTCCACAGGCGTATTTGCTACATGGTCTTTATTCAATGACTTTCTATACTTAACCATCACTTCAGTCAGCGCTAAGCGCTTCTCCAATGTCTGCATTACAGTTCTCTATCCTGGCTTGTGGAGCTGACAACAGGCAAAGACCAGCACACTGTTACCATCAAAAGAGCTCAGTCAATGCACAAGACCGAGAGGAGGAGAGAGATGAGGCTTCCAAGTAAGGGCCCAGAAAGAACGGCTGAGGCCTGGGGTCTGCTTTCTCCTCTGTCCCAGAGCAGGTCTAAGGCACAGCGGTCAAGAACATGATTGGTCCACCAAGTGTGGACCTCTGGTCTAGAGGCAGCCCCTTGCCCGGAAACAGTGCAGCAAGCATTCCAGGCAGCTCTGCCTGGATGCATGTAAGCAGCAGCATTCTCTAATGAAAATGGAGACAGTCTTTTCTGGAAGAGAGTGCCCCAAAACTCACCAGATTCCTTTTAAGGTCCCTGAGAAGAGCAGCCTGGAAGAGACCAAGACTTTCAAAGGCTGACAAGGCACAGAGTGGATTGACTGAATACGTCAACAACACATGAAGAAACCTTTGGCTGAGGGAGGCCCAGTGTCCATCAACATGCAGACAGACAGATCAGATGATTAGCAGAACTGGTTCTGCATTCCAGCATTCCACATGCTGCCCACATCCCAAGCCCCACTCTACCCTCCCCCCAAGCCCCTGGTCCCAAGGAGTATCTGCAGAATAAGTGAGAGGGTGGCATCCAAAGCTAATGGCAGGCAGAAGTGTCAACACTCCGCACAAACATCACTGGGGTCTGTCCTGTCTAGGCAGCAAGAGCAACGCTGGCCTGAGCTTGGATGGCAGGGTCCACTTCGTACAAAGTCAGGCTGCACCCAGGACGCTCAGCTCTGGGAAATCTTTCACTTCTCCAACTTCGCTGAAAGGCTGCCCACCCTGGTTGAATGTCAGCTTATACCGCAAGCGGATAGGCTCCTGGGCAAAGACATAAGATGTTAAATTAGTGCAGGTAACACAGAAATAAGCACTGACTGCTGCTAAACCACAAGGTCAGCAGTTCATAGCCGCTGTAACAGAGAAGGTTGTAAAGATTCACAGCCTCTGTAAAGAAACCTTACATAGGATTGTGCTGAATCAGAACTGACTCAGTGGCAGTGGGCTGGTTTGTGTTCTGGTTTTAAAACACAGAAGTAGCCCACAGAAAAAGCCTCCCCCCTACAGCAGCCACCAGCTCTTCCCACCTACATGAGGACATGGACACTAGAAGACTACTAGCACAAGGGGAACCATCCCACACACTAACAGTCCTCAGATGAGCTGCAATTCACAACTACAGGAGACGGAGAAGACTCACCCCTCAGAACTCCCACTCTCACAGTATCAGGGAACTTTTCTATGTCCCCCTTTGGTTCCCAACAATCTGTCAATAAGCCCAAAGGAGACAGACTCTAGCAAGGAACAGGCCACCACCACCCTCAACCAAACTGAAGACTTGAGAGCATCACCTTCATATGGCCTGCTCCACTCTCAATTTACCTCCCTAGAAGTTAGGGCCCCCAGTATCCTGCTCCCAAAGATACGACCCAGAACCTACTTTGTGTGGGTTTTCAAGCAGCAGCACCTGAGAAATCATGGCTGGAGGTGTCAAAGGACTGAACGCGGCAAGTCTGGAGCTGGATGCCGGCTGCAACTTCACTCTCATGGACTGTCAGGGGGAAAGGCAACATGAAACTCATCTCCAACATGCTACAGCTTCACTAAGCTTCAATGGGTGCTGGGGAGGAACCTGCTGTTTACAAGTCCTCTCCTCTAAGAGCAAATGGATTTCTCAGGAGGTACAGTAAGTACCCCAAGGCATGCATGGGAGCCCAAGAAGAGGATTCCCACGAATTGAGAAAAGGATCCTCAAGATCTTTCCTTCCACACACAAGAGAGATCAGGTTGTGTAGCCAGTAGCTGGCATCTTAGAGGCAGACTACAGAGGGTACACGTTGGGTTGAATTGTAACTCTATGCCTCTTACTAATTCTGTGTGACTTTGGGCAAAATATTTAACTTCTCTGAGCCTGGGATTCATCATTTATAAGACAGAGATAATAATAGTGCATGCCTCTACAAAATTACTGTGAAGATTAGCAAATGCATACTTTTATCTGTAATCATTTCTTTTCTGGATAAGCCCCCTCCTCATTTCTTGTGATTCTAGTAAGACCAAAAATTAGTGGACTACTACTTCTCTTAAAAAGGGTGGGCTATCATCCAAATCGGTCAGAGTAGCTTTTATACCTAGATACCTAATACTGGTCCAAAATGTGCAAGAAACATCAGAAAGGCCAATCAGAGCCCTTTCTTCAGTAATCAGTATGCATGCTTCATGCCAGCTGGGTTTTTTATGAGATAAAAAGTATTAATGACAACATAACCCTAGAGCTCCTGGTTAACAGACACTTTCCTGTTTTTTGAGTGTCTGTCTGAAAAGAGTCCTCAAAGAGGAAAACAAATTCAAGATGCAAAAAGAGAGATTCTTAAGGAATCATTTATGATCTATCTGATCTCGTCACACCTAAAGGCAGACTCTAGGGATCACCAGTTAAATGAGACAGTAACATTCCTCCCCAACCTTAAATTATATTGAGTGATTATTCTATCTCATACAACCAAGAGTCCTAACTCATAAACATAAATCCCAGCAAAGGAGCTGGCGCTCAAACACGGTAACGCCTTTACTGAACAACTCAGAAGCCCAGGCCAGGAGGTGACTCACCTTGGGCGCAGCTACTTGAAACATGATATCCCACACAGGCTGGGGAGCAGTGCTCATCATGGTCAATAGCAATACCTGCACCTCAGGGTGGCCAGGGGCCCCAGTCTGGGAGAAGTGGAGCAGAATTCGGAATCCGTTCCGGTCATACACGATCACAGGAGGCAGGCTGCCTGGTAGAGACGGACCCGACCAGCAGAGTTAGCGCACCGCAAACTCTGAGAGCCAAGCCGGAAAGAGCTGTGCCTGGCAGCACCAAACCCTTCTGCCTCTCCATCCTGACCACCATTCAGAATGACCCTTTTAGTGGGGTCACTGCCACAGTCCAAGTTCTCGTCACTTCTGGCTGGATGACTACCACTCTATAAACTGACCTCTCCTTACCATCCCACCAGATAGCTTTTGGACTATTTCCTTCTAGTCTTTTTGTATGACCACACACATACACAACTTATATTTTGCTTTATAAAACTATATAGAGACTGCCAACTCCTCAAATGCACAGATTTAATGAAATGTCATTAAATATCTTAAAAAGATTTTCATTTAGCTAAGATGTAATTCTAAAATTAAAATTTGAAAGAAAAAAAGTATATAAAAATAACCAAGACATTTTTAAGAATTAAAAAAATTGGGCACGGGTATGCTATTTTCATTAAAAAATCATCAGATAAATAAAATTATAATTCAATGAATGTAGTACAAAACAGCATTTCAAAAGAGACATTAACACACACAAATATAACATGAGAACATGTATTTCAATATCAATGGCTGATTAGAGATATGGCAGAGACACCTGGATAACCATCTGGGGCCCAAAATGAAGGAACATCTTTTTCTCATGAAAGACATTCCTTATAAGCAAAATGCAAATTATAAAAATGTATTCTTCTATCAAACTGCCAAAGATTGAAAATACCTGGTGCTAATGAGTCATCGCAGTCCTGGTGTGGTGCTGGAACATAATAAGCACTGGACTGCTAGCTGCAAGGTCGGTGGTTCAATCCTACCAGTCATTCCTCAGAAACCCGATACAGGGTTGTTATGAATCAAAATGGACTCGATGGCACTCAATAACCGCAACAAGCAACAGAAAAAACTGTAATCTTTCAGGAAGGCTACTTGGTAATACAGATCCAAATTTAATGTCTATACCCAGTATTTCCATTTTCTGGAATAAAGCCTATCCAAAAAGCCTGCAATTACTCTCAAGTAAAGAGGAGAAGATATGGGGGTAGGGGCCCTGAAGTCCTAAAACTCAAACAACCATAAGGCAATTAAAAGGAATGTGGAAAAAATGCAACCAGTCACTTTACAATTTGTGTTGTTAAGTGCCGGCAAGTCCATTCCAATTCATAGTAACCCTGCACAGAGTTTCCAAGGAGTGGCTGGTGAGTGTGAACCACTGACCTTACGGTTCAAACGACCCTGTGGTCCAGTGCTTATCCTACAGCATCACACCAGGGTTCGTCTTATTTGTAAGAACTTGATTTGCTGTTCTGCAGACTTTCATCAAAAATACACACACACAAAACTCATTCTAACACAAATGTGCGTTACATGTGCATTTTTTTCCTGGTTTTTTATTTTGCTCAACACCCTCATGCAAATATTTATTTATATGTGTGTGTGTATATATATATATATATATATAAAGCATTACATTCAACAACCACAAAATAAATAATGTTTTATTGCTAAAAGAAACATTCTTTGATGGTTACCAGGGGTGGGCAGAGGGTGGACACACGCTGACAAGGTGATGGGGAAGGTGAAATATAAGAGGAAGGCTGGCACAGGAAAGCTGTAAGTAGTGGGAGACTCAGAGAAGAATTTAAGAGCTCAAGTGAACAGAGGTCAATCCTGTGAGCTGATGGTACATGGAAGGGATTACAATCACTGTAATGACAGGAAGTACACGATTTGCTGACTGGTGGGACTGATGGTCTGTTCTGTAAACCTTCACCTGATTCACAGTGAAACGTTTTAAAAAAATACAGTAAAGTCTACTGTTTTAACAAAAAATAATTGTAAACAAATGATCATTTAGAAAAAGAATGAATAATAACACAACTAATTTTTTTAATGATATATGTGGATTAATAAAAAATCAGGTTTTTGAATCATGAAGAGGACAAAAAGTGCTTATGACTTAATAGATAACAAAAACCCAGGATATAACCCAACCAATATACACTACTGAAAAACAACAATATACACTATTGGTGCTGTTAAACGCCACTGAGCCGGTCCTGACTCATAGCAACGCTGTATAGGGTTTCCACAGAGTGGCTGGTGGGTTTGAACTGTCGATCTTTTGGTTAGCAATCCAGTGCTTATCCTACAGCACCACACCTGAACTGGAGTGTTAACCACAAGGTTGGCAGTTCAAACCCACCAATCACTCTTCAGAAACCCTATACAAGGTTGCTATGAGTCAGAACCAACTAAACAGCACTTAACAACATAGATACTGTGGTACCAACTTGAATACACACTAAGACCTTAATAGACTTTCCCATCTCTGGGTGGTAATGGTATGTTATTGTTGTTGTCAAGTGCCTTCAGGTTGGTTCTGACTCATAGTCCCTGTATAGGAATTCCAAGGAATGAATGATTGGTCGGTTTGAACCACTGACTTTGTGGTTAGCAGTCCAGTGCTTATCCTACAGTGCCACACCAGGACTCCATAATGGTAATGGTTTTAATTTTCTGCTTTCCTCACTGTTACAGGGCAGACAACCCACGTGCTTCAGAGTAGCAGTGCACTCCACAGGGTTTCCTTGGTTGTAACATTATGGAAAGGAGCAACGGCGCACAGTGCCCAAAGTGCTTGCCAGCTAACGAAAAGGTGAGCGTTTCAAATCCATCAGTTGTTCTATAGGACAAAGATGTGGTAACCTGCTCCCGTGCAGACTAGAGCCTTGGAAACCCTAGGGAGCAGCAGTTCTACTCCGTCCTGTAAGGTTGCCAGGAGCCAGAATTGACTCACCAGCAATAGGTCTGATTTTGTATTACAGAGATCACCAGGTCTTTCTTCTGTGGTACCACTGGTAGATTTGAACTGCCAATCTTTGGTTAGGAGCAAAGAGTAAACTGCTTGCGCCACTTGCTCATGCAAATTCCTCTGCCTGACTTTAGGGCCCTCTACAATCTGCACTCACCACCAAGCTACATGAGGGTTCTGTACTCAAGAGAACAAGAGCCTAGACCCTGCAGTACAAGACCCCAATTGTTTCCCACTCTGCCCCTTACTAAAGCACTGCCCATAGGCAGAGACCTAACTTTGTCCCTTTCCAATAATGCAGAGGTAAGATCCACTTTCTCGCTTCAATCAGGACCCCTGAAGAAAAAGGATGACTAGCCAAATTCTCCCCTTCCTGCAAAACTTCCTCTGTACCTCAGTCACTCAGGCTACAATGAACAGTCCCTCCAGACACTCAAGTCCCCTCCCTAAATCTTGCCTGTAATATCCTTCAAAGTGCCAACTCTGACTTCAAGACAAATCTTGGCTAAATTACTAAAGAAAACTGCTAACTCTTAGACCCTAAAGCCCTCTCTTTTCCTCTTCCCCTGGGTAAAATCTCCACCACTAAGTTTAAGGACCACATCTACTGATTCCAAGTGGAAAAAACGCCACAAATAACAGAAAGAAAGAAGGGGGGAAAGGGTGAAGCTGTACTTACTGGGCTTAACAGACTCCAAAGGGACAAATATTTGTGCCAGAGGTGTACTCTGGGAAGATGGAGACGGCAATGAGCCATCCTCCCAGGACCAACCTGGAGAGGACTTAGTAACTGGTGACACTTCCTTGGAGACACTCTTCTGGAGAACACGATTCCTGCAAATAAATAAAAATTATCAAAGATCAGCAAAAGTTCTGCAGAATTTCAAGTATCTGTGATTCAGCTTTCTAAAGAAGATGGTCAGAAAAAAGAAAGAAAAAAAGAAAATATATATATATAAAGGGGCTTCCAAACGTTCATGGAAAAATGAAATGAAAAGATAATGGGGAGAACAAACAAGATGGCAGATGGGGTGGAAGTGCAATGAGGAGCTCCATCAGCAACAACACAGAATACCAGACCAAGCAGGCTCAGGGGATGGTCCCAGAACTCTGAACCACATATAAAGGAATATTTAGATGGTTGGAAGGTTTACAGCCAGTGGAATTTGTAGCAGAAGCAAGAAACCCATTACTTTCTAATTCAAGATGCTCAGCTGCTCCTGGAGCTGCCATCTTGGGCGAGACCAAGTGGGGGAATGATCAGAGCAGCCAAGGACACCTGACAGAACTGAGGAGATAAAGGTATGAACATTTTTTTTTTTGTATCTGTTCATTGGTCTCTCACTGTCTGTGTACCTCCATTCTGGTGTCTAGATGGGGTACCTGTGCTAGTGGACACACCACCCCCACCCCTGTAAGGTTCTACTGTGCCAAAATTTAAAGTGACAGTTTCCACTTAAAACAAAATGCCAGCGCAAAATGGTCACAGCTGGCCCTAACTGTTTATCATTAGGAAAAAGGCCTGAACAGGGGTTGTGGAGCAGAACAGGCAGACTAAAAAGGAAATAGGCCGAAAATTAAATTCTAAGTTATATCATAATGACCAACAGTGGCATCTTGAAATTTCTCAGTAAGAAGAGTGAAAAGGGAGGTCCATTTCCTGATCACACTATCTGGAGGCAATCAGAAAGCATAAAAATTACCAAAATACATACCCATCTAAGTATTAAGGCCACAGATAACCCCTGAAGATGCCCAAAAAACAGAAGCAGATGACTATATCAGCATGTGTCCAGAAACAAGATACAGTGACTAAAGCAAATGAGTTGGAAGTAGACCTACACTCCATACTGGAAGATGGGCAGGCTTTGGAAATGACTGAAAAGGAATTCAGAAAAATGATTATAAAATGTATCAAAACACTATACAATGGAGTTGAGAATAAGGAAGAAGTCAGGAAAGCGGCTAAAAGAACAATCAAATAAGATAAGATACAGCATTGGAATCAATTCAAAACCTACAGAAAGAGGTCCAAACAATTAATAATAGAATATCAGAAATGAAGAATACACTGAAAGGTCAAAGGAGTAGAATTGAAGACAGGGAAGCCAGAACTAGTGAGCTGGAAGATAAAGCTCTCAATACTACTAAGATAGAAGAACAAACACACACAAAAAGGATTAAAAAACCCAAAGAAGGCCTAAGATTCATGTTGAACACGAAGAGGAATAACTTAAGAATTATAGGCATTCTGGAACAGGAAGAATTACTCAAGTCCACGGAGGAGACAGTTGAAGAATTGCTGGAAGAAAATTTCCCTAATATCCTGAAAAGTGAAAAGATAAGCATTGAATTGCCGACTTTGCAGTTCAAATGGCTTTGCAGTCTGGCGCATTACCCTACAGCACCACACCAAGACTCCACAGGATAAAATAGACTGTCTTAATGGACGGAAAAATTAAAGGAATATAAATTAACCACAGTGGAGGGGTTGGGGTGGGGTATTTAGGGGGAACTGGAGGGAGGTGACAGTAGAGCACAGGGTAAGGGCAGACACATCATAGTTTGGGTGTTGGAGAGGGCAATACAAGAAGGGGGAAGGAGGTGGAAGAATAAGGGAGGGGAACACTGAGACAGGTTTGCATGGGCTAAGTGGGACAGAGGTAAATAGTGATGCATGCTCAACCTTGGACCAACAGGGCTCTGTGATACAGGGATCAAGGCATAGTATAAAGAGAGGAAATACTACTAAATTGCTTGACTGTCTTATGAATATTGGTTTCCCTCGCCTACTACTGTAAAACAGACACTTGAGTGGCTAGAAAGGAATGTCGGAAACATGATTACAGACAGAACCGTCTTCAGCCTATAACTGATTAGAATATCTCAAAGGGGTTCTAGAACTTGCCCAGTGAAATAGGCCTCTTACAGAGCCTTTGAAGAGTATAGGACCTTAGGTGGAATCCTGTACCCCATCTAGAACCTTATGAGGTGGGACATCCCCACTAGAAAGGATAAGCAGACCAGCCTGGAACAGTTACAGCAACAGAAGACACATCTTCAAAGAAAGATCAGCAGGAAAAACCCAAAACAAAAATGGCAGTATGACTGGCTACTCCAATAATAAGCAAGCTGTTCACTGGAAGCCATCAAAGCAAGCAATCAAGCTCCTTCAGGACAAACTCCCATCTAAGACTGAAACTCAAAGGGGGCACATGAGCAGGCATGTAAGCTTGCTGGCAACCACACTGGTCTACTGGTGAGCGGAAGAGGGGGAAAGGCAGCAATGAAGAAATGAGCTGAATTCAACCACGGTCCATTGGCTCCCATTGACCTAGATATGAGAGAGAGAAGAGGAAGGGCTGGATGGTTCAAAGTGTGGTGAGACCTGGAGACACCTGAGCCCATGGACAAGGACATAGCCACAGAGGGCTTGAGCTGAAGAGTGAAGCATCCACCTCATATGAAGTGAGGGGAGATGCACAAGAACACCCAAACTTGCAGATAGTACCCATTTGACCTAGCCTCAATGGATTAATAATCAGAACTTGACTAGAGGAAGATAAAAAAAAAAACAAAACAATTTCTGATAAAGAAAAGAGGGTAAATTGTTACAATTTGATGAACCTGACCTATACTTATGGAGGTAGTTACTCTAAATACCAACAGAGAGGGAAGGAGTCTTCACATCAACTATCAATGCTATCCCCTCTGTACACAGGATAGATAGGGATGGGCAACTTAGACATTGACTACCTAAAATGAGAGGGTGATAAAGGCAGTAAGTGACTTGCTTACAAGGTTTCAAGGGGGAGCTTAGTTTAATAGCATGTGGGGAAAGAAAGAGTCCCCACTGAATAGTTTTCACCTTGTCTACATGGGTCTGGTTAAAAGAGATGGGGATAAGATTCTTGTGATTCAATAGTGAGTAATTGTTATCATGATTAATTGTGACTCTCACAATTGTAAAGGGATAAATTTTGTAACAAAAACAGGGGAGTGGTTAATCTTATAGTCCAGAAACAAAGGACTCTAGAATCATCAAGGGAGAAGAGCACAAGTGGAATGTGAGACCTTATCTAGAGAAGCAGACACACCAGAGATGGAGGCAGAGATAGGGACATGGCGAGAGGGAGCAGCTGAGGACTCAAGATTCATGGGAAGAGAGTGACTAAGAGCTGGTAGCCACAAGGCAGACTTGCAGAATGTTCCCTTAGGTGGTGTAAATTATTATATAAACCTGACTGTTTAAAAAAAAAAAGCGCTAAAGTGAATAGAAACACTGTTAACTGATGGTACATGGACAGGATTATAATCATTGTAATGAAACAAGGTGTATGATTTGTTGAATGTAAAACTGATGATCTGTTCTGTAACCTTTTACTCAATCCACAATAAAAACTTTAAATAAATAAACAAGTAAAAAGATAATGGAACTTCTCCACATGCTTTCTGAAGCCCCCTTGTGTATGTATGCATGCAGACGCATGGCTTTAAGCTTTAAGCAAGTAACAGTCTTGCTTGATGCCACAAGACAACACAAGTGTCAGCCTCATAGGGTTGTTACAGGACTTTAATGAGAGAATGAGTGGACAGCACCAAGCAGTGTCTGCACGCCCTACCGGTGTAAGGGTGACTATGAAGGTTGTTAATGCTGGAGTTGTCAGGCAGGAACTGCACAAGTGGCTCTGTCAGGCTGTTTCTCACCTGTGACCTAAGGCCACACAAGCGTGATGTGAGTTATATGGTTGATACACCAATTATCTGCCCATGTCACATCTTTTCATGATTTTGTTCATTTGGGACACACAGAGAACACAGTTTTAGAAAACTGAAGCCCTGAGAGGAGAAAACAACCCACCCAGATTAGAGTATTACTGGTCCTCTGTCCAGTGGTTGACAAGAGTAAAACCGAAAGAAACAACTTCTGGATGCAAACAGGAATCATCTCCCAGTACGAGGCCATTCCCAGCAGAAACAGGGCGCTCTCTGAGGACAGGCACTTGTAGGCAAAGGCAGAGGGACAGGAGCAAGGATGACTTACTATTCATCCCTAAGTCTGTACATAAAACACTCCCCGAGGCCTCCCAAACGACCCACTACAGGAATACCTACAAGAGGAAACGGACAAAACAAAGCCATACAATGAATTTTAATGTAGCCATTTTAAGGAATGGGAGTCCTGGTGTGGTGCTGTAGGATGGACTGTTAACTGAAAGGTTGGTGGTTCAAATCCACAACCTGCTCCTCAGAAACGCTACCCAGGTACGCTACCGAATTGGAACCAACTCGATGGCACTGAACAACAACAATTACAAGGAATGAGGCAAATTTATCAAAACTGATACAGAAATGTCAACACAAGGAAAAAAAGCTGGCAGACAGTTAGTGTACAGCTAGGCCGCAACCATGTAAAGGGGACTGACTGGGAAGGAGCGTTCAGCACTGCTTTTATGGAGTGGTATTCTGGGACTTTCATGTAAGCACTCTAATGATCAAATCTGCATTACCGATTATTGTGGCACTGTTGTGTAGCATAAGCGCTTGAATGCAAGATTGGTTTGAACTACAGGCTCAGCGGTTCAAACCCACCAGCCAGCCACTCCTCAAAAACCCTATACAGGGACGCTATGAATCTGAACTGACTTGATGGCACTAAAAACAATTATATTTGTAAGGAGTTGCGCAGTGGCTAAGTGCCCATTTGCTAACCAAAAGGTTGGCAGTTTGAAGCCACCTGCCATGGGAGAAAGATGAGGCAGCCTGCTTCCGTAAGCATTTACAGCCATGGAAACCCAATGGGCCAGTTCTGCTCTGTCCTACAGGGTCACTGTGAGTCAGAACCAACTCAGCGTTAGTGGGTTATGATGTTTGTAACCAGGAAAAAGACAATCGGCAGACATCAAAAACAGCCTCCTCACCTCCTGAAATGAGGCCCTTTCAGAGGTCGTGTTAAACAGGTCTTTTCCTGTGACGTCCATGAGCAGTGGAAAGAGACCGGGGAAGCATAATACTGAGCTTCTGGTGACCAGGGAAAATCTCTCCAGCATGAGAGGTCTCCAGCTGTCTTAGACAATCAGTCCCTCCCGCCTGCCCTTATGCAATGACATGGACCTGCACACAGCAGCCAGACTCTAATCCATTGTCCAGAAGACTCACAGAGGGCCCGGCGCGGGCTGTGGGGAGAGGAGATCCAGCCAGCTCCTTTCTGCAGGACTCTCAACGGCAGCTGGCCGTGTGCTGGGGGTGGCATTCTTTGTTTCCTTACAGCAATTCTGAGGAGCAACCTGTCAAATCAGGGATGACTCAGATAAGGCTGGGGCATGAACATGAGCCAGTCACAGTGGCTGAGCTCTCTTGACCCCACCCAAGCTTCTCCAGCCCAGGATTTACCATATTTCTTTGCGTAAGAGAAGAAAGGGCAAGACAGTGACCTCAGGGAAGCCTGGATACGATCATTAAGGCAGAGGCCCAGGCAGAGAGCGTTACTCCAGGATTCAGGTGATGGAGAGGCTTTGGCAGTGCAAGCCCACGAATCCCATCACTTAATGTGGTGCTGTCCCCCTCCACGCCAGCACTGCCCCTATACTGGAAGGTTTGAGGAATCCTACTCCACCCTAAGGAAACCAAATCATGGATTGCATTGGGCAATCTACTGCACAAGACCTCTTTAAAGTATTCAAAAGCAAAGAAGTCACTAAGGGGATTAAGTTGCACCTGACCCAAGTATTTTCAACTGCCTCAGACGGAAGCTGAACAACGAATAAGGATGACCACAGGCCTCATGCCTTTGAATTATGGTGTGAAGAATACTGACTATACCATGGACTGTGACATCACGCTTGGTAAGGTACAAGGTCAACTCAATGAAATGGAATGACACAGTGGCTGCAACAATGGGCTCCAACCAGGGCTCTGAGCCAGCGCTTCTTGATTCAGTAGTGGCAAACAAAGTGAAACTAGAACAGACCTGAATTTGTAAAACGTGGCTGAACCAGGGCAACAACTGGAACTAGAAAAATCTGGTTAGCACCCTGCTAGAAACTTAATTACCCTCTTGGAAAAACAAGGGCAGTATATGTGTTGCACAGCAGACAACTCTCTTGACCAGCAGTCAGAAACAGTAGTGCTCGACTCGTAGATGGCTGATGACCTCACGGCATTAGTATGCACCATTTTCACAGTCCCGCCACTAATCCAATCTCCTGCACCAGGTTCCTGCAAGGTCTCCCATTCCAGAGATTCTACCTGCAATTTTTCCCATTCTGGTCATTGTCCCACAGACTCAGGTCTGTTCTGACTGCATTTTGTCAGCCATGATGGAAATGGTTTAAACCAATTCAAAGCACTGGCTCAGACATCTAAATGAGAGTGAGGATGGCAGAGGACCAGGGAGGGTTTTAGTCTGTTGGGCACAGGGTCGCAATAAGTCAGAACCAACTCAATGGCACCTAACAACCACCACCGTGACCCTGATCCCCCAAGAAGAGCTTCCTTACCTCGTTCACAGCAGGCATATCACTGATCCCTGTAAGAAATGAGAAGAGTGAGGTATCCAATGGTAACCCTCTTCTGATATAAACTGCAGAGCAATGCCGTGTCACCCCTTCTAGAACATTTACAACACTGAATTACAACATTTAAACACAGTCACTCACTCATGAGTCAACATATACCTGGCAAAGCTAAGACTCCAATGCAAAGGGGACCTCTCTGAACTGCCCAGTTCACCAGAGTCCCTCAGGAACAGGCCTACTCTTCCCAAAAGGAACCAGCGTTCGCTCTCTTCCTCTGGCCTTGCAACTGCTGGCCCTTCACACATACACTCACCTAAGGCTGCCAGGTCCTGATGGAGTAAAGATGGTGCCAGAGACCCAGCCTGCTCAGATCCACTGTCCCCCTCCAAATCTATCAGGGGGCAGTTCTCCGTGCAGCCTTCTGGATTCATAAACAATAGAAAACAGATAGGGTGATGAGTGTAAGCCAGTTAGACATGAGGACAGGCTCCAGGTAAACCCTGCCAAGTTTCCTGACTTCTCCACACAATCAAAAGACGTCACTTTCCTCCACTCCAGGTAACCCAATGCACAGCCTTGGCACACAGCCTGAGCTGGTATTTGGAGCATCAGGTTGACAGGGCTGTGTTCCCACCTCTGTGGTGACCAGAAGGCTGCATTCCCACCTCATAGACCAGAGTCCTCCTCTAAAGGATCCCGGCAACTGGACAGCAGCAGACCTTTCTTCTCCAGCTCAGATGCTTGAGGTTTCTGACCACAGCTGATCACCTGATGTGCTCAATAAAATGCACATACCCAGGCCCAGCCTTAAGAGGTCTTGATTCAGTAGATCAAGGACCAGGGCCCTAAGAGTTGGCATTTTCACAAATGCTCGAGGTGATTCTGATGCAACCAACATGGCTCTAGAAACCACTGGGCCTGACCACTTCATTGGTTTCCAGCTCTTGTTAGGTGCTTACTAATGAGAGTCTAAACCCGAGCACGTGTAGCCAAGGCTGGTGTCGTTGGGTGATCAGTTAACAATGGTACCGGTGGCAAGCGCTGGCTACTTCAAACCTGTTTTCACATTCTCTCATTTCTATTTCACAACCTAGAATATTCTGAGGATTCATTTCTTTTCTTGGATTTGTAAAAGGCTCTTTCTTCCACATACCTTTGGAAGCAGATCTCTCTCCCACTGGACTGGCCACTGTGTTCCCAAAGGTGACACGGCCCTCCATCACCTCTTTGTACAGGAGAACTCCCTGGGTGAGGAGGTCATTAGCCTGGAGAATCTCCGCTGGAGAGAGAATTCAGAAACCACTGATCTGTGTGCTAATAGTCTCAGTCTTTCTTCTAAGTTATTCCACATGACTGCCTTCCACTGGCTCCAGCCTAGCCGTCCCTCCTGCCCCCAGAACATGTCAGTAGACCTAGTCACTCAAACCCAAGTCCTAGTGCTGGGATGCAAATGGATGCTAATGCAAAGACTGCAGGTTCAAGTCCACCTGGGCATGCCTCTGAAGAAAAGTCTAACAATCTACATCTGAAAAATCAGTCACTGAAAACCCTGGATCTCATGGGACAGTTCGGTCAATTGTCACACTATAGCTCACAAAGCTCCCGTTCTGCATCCCAGTGAGCCGCCATCTGAGATGCAACTATTGGTCTCTGCTCATTCAGAGACAAAGAAAGAGAATGTCTGAGAGAAGAAACTAGCCTGAAGAGCTGATACAGCCTACATGAGCCCATGGCCTCATCTACCCTGAGACCAGAAGACGGAGACAGCGCCCTGCTACCATTACTGACCATTCAGTAACTGTGGCCACGACAGACGGACCCTAGTAGAATGGGAGGAAGATGTGGAAGAGAACCTCAAATTCATACACATTGAACCAGCTGAGACTAACACCCTGAGAAATTCTTTTAAATCTTGAACCAAAAGTATCCCGAGGTCACCTTTTAGATGAGAAGATAAGGGAACAGGGACACTCAAGCAATGAAAACAAAACAAACAGACCCACTCATAAAAGAATGTTGACACAATGTAAGCAATGTTAGGAACAATCCGTACAGTAATATCACACAGGAACTTAATTTACGGTGTAAATTTTTACCAAAAACACAATTAAGTCATATTTAAAAAAATCAAAATCAAAACCAAAATCAATCCTATGGCACACAGTTCTACTTATGGGGTCACCACAAATGGGAATCAAGTTAACAGCAACTGGTTGGCTCTTGTCTGCGCTGTCCAGCAGGAAGGCCACTAGCCTTCAGGTAGCCAGTGAGCACCTAGAAAAGGTTCCTTCTATTGAAGAACTACAGTTTTTACTTTATTTCATTTTCATTTGCTTTGGTTTGCAATCTTAAGTTTCATCAATATGAATGATTAAGAGAAAATGATTTCTATGGTACTTAATTCAGTTATTGGAAAGTTCTGAAGAATGTACAAAGCCACGTGGTATGTGAATCTACTTTTTCAGGTATTGTTGTGAAGTGCCATTCAGAGCTGTAAATTCTATGAAATCTACATATAGGTCAAGCATTTGCAATGAATATCTGACATCCCAACTGAAGTGTCCTATTATGTATACAACTTATTTTATGGCAGCTCCATAGGATAAGCACTAAACTGTGAGGCACAAGGTTGGCAGTTCAAGCTCACCAGCTGCACCATGGGAGAAACATGAGGTTTTCTGCCCTCACAATGAAGTACAGCCTGGGAAACCATAGGCAGGGTGCCATGAGTCAAAACTGACTTGAAACCACTTATACCAACAACATTTTACTACTTTTAGTGTAGCTGCTATGGAATTTAAAATCATATACACAGCTTGCATTCTATTTCTATTTGACAGCAGGCTGCTGTTCTAACAGCTAATTTGGTCTTACAACCAGACTAGTCTCCAACATCTCAAGGGTGCCTGTGGGTTATGTACGACCAATCCTATTAACCTGTTGTGGTGAAGTGTTGTCGAGTTGGTTCCCACCCATAGCAATCCTGTATAGGGTTTCTCAGGAGCGGCTGGTGAGCTTGAACCGCCAGGACTCCCCCTACTAACTTAGGTCAACCAAATTTAGAAACAGCACCAGCGATCACATGTCAAGATGCCCCAAGGAAGCAGGGAAGCAACTCTGGATGTGAGTAGAACACCCCACGGCTTGGTTTACCTGCAAACTAACCTCTTTTGAGAGAGACATGAAAAAAGCAACAAGGCCAATGATTGTTTATAAGAGGGAATGCCAAGTAAAATTTTGCTAAAGATAATTCAAAAACTGTTTCAGCAGCACATCGACAGGGAACTGCCAGAAATTCAAGCCAGATTCAGAAGAGGATGTGAAATGAATAGCACGGCAATATCAGCGGGAACTTGGCTGAAAGCAGAGAATAAAAAAAAAAAAATTACTTGTGCTTTACTGACTGTGCAAAGGTATTGGACTGTGTGCATTGTAACAAACTATAGTTAACATTGTGAATAATGGGAATCCCAGAACACTTCATTGTATCATACAGAATCTGTGTACAGATTAGTGTTTGGTTAGAACAAACTGAATGGTTTAAAAACAAAAAAGGTGTGAGTCAGGGCTGTGATCCTTTCACTAAATTCACATAATCTGCGTGTTTAGCAAACCTGAGGGCTAGATGAAGAACAGTATGGCAAAGGACTCACAGCCAACGATCTGTAGAAGGTACAACTTTGCTTGCTGAAAGCAAAGAGGACTTGACACAAAGTACTTACTGATGAAGATCAAATACTACAGCCTTCAGTATGAGTTATAACTCAACATAAAAAATTCAAAAATCCTCAAAACCAGTAATGTTGTTTATCATAAGCAATATCATGACAAACTGAGAAAAGATTAACGTTCTTAAGGATTTCATTTTACTTGGATCCACAATCAATGCCCATGGAAGCAGCAGTCAAGAAATCAAATGGTGTATTGCACTGGGCACATCTGCTGGAAAAGTTCTCTTGAAAGTGCCACTTTGATGACTAAGCTGCACCTGACCCAAGCCATGGTATTTTCAATCACTTCATGTGTATGTAAAAGCTGGACAATGAACAAGGAAGACAGAAACTTCCATTGAAATACAGTGTTGGCAGAAAATACTGAATATGCCAGGGACATAGACAGAACAAATCTGTTTCGGAAGAGCTACTGTCAGAAAGCTTCTTAGAAGGCGGGCTGGCGAGACTTCAACTCATGCAATTTGGACATGCCATCAGGAGGGACCAGTCCTTGGAAACGAAGGGTCAATGAAATGAGGAAGACCCTTAGGGAGATGCAAGGACACAGTGCCTGCAACAATGGTCTCCAACAGCAACAACTGTGAGAATGGTGCAAAACTGAGCACTGCTTCATTCTGTTCTACACAGGGTCACTATGAGTCAGGACCAACTCACTGTTAGCAAACCACCACCACATCTCTAGCCTACAGAAAATATAAGAAGTGTTACCAAGTGCATCATCATCATCTGTGGTCTCGCTCGCCAGCCGGAACAAAGTGGGCCGAAGCTTTTCACACCTTTCATAGACGACCTGGGAAAAGAACTAGGTTTCACGACATTCATCCAGGAACCCCAGCAAGGCCTTAAGTGCTTCGAGCAGAGCCTGGGGCCTGTGAGGTTCTCGTCAATCCATCTCAAATTCAAGACTCAGGTTTAAAGATGAATATGTGCAGTCTATGGAATCCTAGTGTGGCGCTGTAGGATAAGCACTGGACCGCAAAGTCAGTTCAAACCCAACAGTTGTTCCTTGAAACCCTATACAGAGTTGCTATGAATCAGACCCAACTTGACAGCACTTAACAACAACAACATGTGCAACAAGTCTACGGTCTGCCTGCTAGACCCACATAACAATTTAAGGATTACCTGCAGGGCTTCCTGGTCTGGTGGGGCCTGCCCTGGCCTGCGGTACATGCTCAGCATTTCCTGCAGCACCTTCACATGGCTGCGGACTTCCTCCACTGCACTGACTCTCTTGGATACCTTCTCTGACTTTTCTTGCTCCTTTTAAGGGAAAGAAAAGCATGCATTTGAGGAAGCACAAGCCCTAGGTAAAGCCTGCACAAGAGATGGGAAAGGGCATCTCCCTGAGCAGCTCAGAGTTCAGAGAAGTCACAAGAACACGAAGGAATGTGCTCTCAGTGAGTGAAGAAAACACTCAAGGTCCAGAATTCTGGGGCTTTGCAGTTGGGGTCCCTGGTAGGCTGCTCTTTTGTACTATCAGTATCAATTCTTCTGAAAAAAACAAGAATCCACACAGTACCTGCCGCAAGGACAGAAACTGGTGTCTATAAATAGGTGAGGTGCAGCATTATGATTCCTGCTTCAAGCCACCATCCTGCTACCTCTTAGGAGCACACAGTTGGCTCTCCAGTTCCAAGCTCTGAGGCCATGCCTCCTCCCACCCACTGTTCATCCACACCCTCAAGCATATGCTTACTGCCCCCCAGCCCCTGTCAAATGCCACTTCCAGAGAACCAGCTCCAAAGTGCCTACCTCCTTGACTAGATTCTTGATCAGCTGGTTCGCAGCCTGCAAATCCTCAGGGTGACTGCTCTTCAGAAGCTTTGTCAGAAGCTGGAGAAAGTGAACATGAACTGTTCCCTCTGTGTCAAGTGGCCCAGAGTGTGAACAACAACAATAGAATCTATACTAACAGCTCACACATTTGTTATGTGTCCTCCCAAATCCTCACAATTCACTGTAATATAGGCATCATGACTATCCCCACACACCAGTGGTTCTCAACAGGGTGGGGGTACAGGTGTGTGGAGGGGAAGCACATATCCCCAACAGTTATTTGACAATGCTTAAGGGAGTCCTGGTGTGACGCTATAGAATAAGCACTGGACCGCAAGGTTGTTTGACCTGCAAGATTAGTGGTTCAAGGGCATCCAAACGGGCAAAAAGGAAATAAAACTCTATTTGCAGACAATATGATCCTATACACAGAAAACCCCAAAGACTCAGTAAAAAAGCTACTAGGCCTCATTGGAGGATTCAGCAAAGTGGCAGGGTATAAGATCAACATCCAAAAATCAGTTGGATTCCTCTATACCAATAACAACAGTGCTGAAAAGGACATTAGGAAAACAATACCATTTACAATAGCCACCCAAAGGATGAAGTATCTAGGAATAAATGTACCCAGAAAAACAAAGGACCTATACAAAGAAAACTACAGGACACTACTACAAGAAACCAAAAGAGACTTAAAAAATGGAAGAATATATCATGTTCCTGGATAGGAAGACTTAACATTGTGAAAATGTCAATGCTACCCAATTTACACATATAATGCAATCTCAATCCAGATTCCAATGACATTCTTCAAAGAGATGGACAAAACAATTGAAAACTTTATATGGAAAGGAAAGAGACCCAGGATAAGCACAGCACGACTTAAGAAGAAAAAAAGGGTGGGAAGCCTCTCACTCCCTGATTTCAAAATTTACTACACGGCTACAGTGGTCAAAACAGCCTGGTACTGGTATAATGAAAGATACATTGATCAATGGAACAAAATTGAGAATCCAGAAATTAACCCATCCACCTACAGCCAACTGATGCTCGACAAAGTACTTAAGTATGCATGGGGAGGAGATGGTCTCTTCAACACAACAGATGGTGTTGGCAGAACTGGAAAGTAATATACAAAAGACTGAAACAAGATCTTTACCTCACACCTTATACAAAAACCAACTCAAAATGGATTAAAGACCTAAATGTGAATATCCCAGAATTACAAAGGTCATCAATGAAAAAATAGGGGAAAATGTGAGGGCTCTAATACAGGGCATACACAGACTACCAAACATTTTGAAACTTACACAAACAAAAATAAGACAAAATAGATCAATGGGACATACTAAAAATTAAAAACTTCTGTGCATCAAAAGACTTCACCAAAAGAGTAAAAAGGGAACCCACAGAATGGGAAAAAATCTTTTGCAATGACACATCAGACAAGGGACTCATTTCCAAAATATATAGGAACCTACACCTCTATACGAAAAGGACAAATCACCCAATTAAAAAACGGGCACAGGACATGAACAAACACTTCACCAAGGTGGAGATCCAGGCAGCCAACAAACATGAAGAAATGTTCATGATCATTAGCCATTAGAGAGATGCAAATCAAAACAACAATGAGATATCATCTCACACCAGCAATAATAGCAAAGATCAAAAACATAGAGGACAGTAAGTGTTGGAGAGGATGTGAAGAAACTAGGACGCTCCTACATTGCTGGTGAGATTGCAAAATGGTCCAACCACTCTAGAAAACAATATGGTGCTTCCTCAGAAGGTTGGAAATAGAGATACCTTATGATCCAGCAAATTCCCCTACTTGGTATTTATCCACAAGAAATACAGGCAATAATACAAGCAGATATATACACCTCAATGTTCATAGCAGCACTATTTACAATAGCAAAAAGATGGAGACAGCCTAAGTGCCCATCTATGGAAGAATGGACAAACAAACTTTTACATACACACAATGGAATACTATACTACCCTGAAGAATAACAAGGAAGCAGCAAGCCACCACATAACATGGATGAACCTTGAGGACATTGTGCTGAGTGAAATCAGTCACAAAAGGATAAATACGGCACAAAGCCATTATTGTAAAAGATTAAGAAAAAGCACCCACACTAAAAGGGGTAAAAAAAATTTTTTGCCTTTTATTTATTTAATTTATTATTATTATTATTTTTTGTAGTTGGTTACCAGGGTGTATGGGGTGGGGTGAGGGAGAGGGAGGGGAAGGTGGAGCACAGGATAGAGGAACACAAAGTAGGGAATAGACAAAGCATAGTTTGGTGCTGGGGGAGGGGGATATACTAGAAGGGGCAGGGGAATGGAAAAATAAGGCAGATGGGAGAATAGCTAGGCAGGTTTACATAGGCTAAATAGGACAGAGGTAAATAACGATATAAGCACAAACGTGGAACAACAGGGCTCATGGATACAAAGATTGAGGCATGGTTTGAATGGGTAAAAGTGGGGAAATGATGTTAAGATGCTTGGCTGTCTTTTGAATATTGGTTTCCCTTGCCTACTATTGCAAAATAGACACTTGAAGGGGAGAGAGAGGAATAGCCAGAAACATCCCCCAGAGAAAGCTTGTATGTCCGTCTTCAGCCTGTAACTATTTGTTGTTGTTAAGTGCCGTCGAGTTGGTTCCGACCCATAGCGACCCTGTACAGGGTTTCCGAGGGTGTAAATCTTTACGGGAATAGAAAGCCTCATGTTTCTCCCGCGGAGTGGCTGGTAGTTTCGAACCACTGACCTTAAGGTTCACAGCCCGATTCGTAACCACTACGCTACCAGAGCTCCTTTTGGAATAACTAAAATGAGGCTAGAACCTGCCCAGTGAAGGAGGCTCCCTGCAGAGCCTTTGAACTGCACAAGACCATAGGTGGAATCCTGATCCTCATCCAGAATCTTCTGAGGTGGGACATTCCCACATGAAAGGTCAAGCAGACCAGTCTGGAGCAGCTAGAAGAACAGAAGATACTTCTTGAAAGAAAAACCAGCAGAAAAAAAACAAAAAACAGTAACAGCAGTCAGCGTAATGGTTATGAATCAGGCTGTGAACCGCAAGGTCACAGTTCGAAACTACCAGCTGTTCCAAGGGAGAAAGATGAGGCTTTCTGCTCCTGTAAAGACTTACAGCCTTGGAAACCCTATACAGGGTCGCTATGGGTTGGAACTGACTCCACGGCACATAACAACAACAACTGACTACTAAAAGAACAAGCAAGTTGTTCCCCAGGGAACCATCAAGGCAAGTGGTCAGGTTCGCTCAAGGAAAACCCCCTTCCAGACTGAAACTCAACTGGAATACACTAGCAGGCATATGGTCCTGCTGCTGACCACATTTGTCACCAATAAGGAGAAGTGGGGGAAAAACAGCAATGAAGTTGTGAACTAAGAACAGAGTGTGAAGCATCCAGCTGATATAAAGTGAGGGGGGATGCTCAAGTACACCCACATCTGCAGACAGTACCCATTTGACCTGGCATCAATGGCTGGATGATCAGAACACAACTAGAGGAAGAAAGAAGGGGGGGGGGGAAGGAGTAACCTACTATAAGAGGATGATCTTGACCTATGCTTGTGGATGCAGTATGACAAAGAAGCAGACAAATCTCTACAGTGAGGATCATTCCCACCCTCTTGGTACACAGGGTCGACAGGGAGGGTGAACTTAAGACATTGGAACTTAGACTTAGACTTAGGGGGGACTACAAAGGCAAGAAGTGACTGGCTTACAAGCTTTCAATAGGGAACCCTAGCTCCAGAGGATACAGGGAAAGGTAGAACCTCCACTGAATTGTTTCCAACCTGTCTGGATGGGGTTGATAAAAGGTGAGGGGGAAGTGACTGGTTAAACCTCAGTGCCCTTACGCATCACTTTATCCCCAATGCCTCGGAGCCTTGCTGTGGTGCTGTACGATAAGCACTGGACTGCTAAGCCAAGGTCGGCAGTTCAAGCTTACCAGTCACTTCTCGGAAACACTACACAAGGCCACTATGAGTCAGAACGAACTCGACCGCACTAAACAAACAGCAGCAGAATACTCAGCACGGAGGAGCCCCTCAATCTTTGCTGAATAGAAAGCTAGAAGAGAGCCAAACGCCAGAGAGTTTATGTAACTATCCCAAGGTGACACCGTCTTTCTTAGAAGTCTGTGTCCCTGCCTAGGTCCCCGACTCTCTGTAACTGTAAAACAGAAAGCTGGAGAAGAGGCAGGCAGCTGAGCATCGGAACTAAAACAGCTTGTTCTGCCCAGCGACATTATAGATCATGAGTACCTAGAGTCCAGGGAAGGGTGCCCTAGAAGGCAGACAGCACAGACTGGACAGAAACACAAGTGGCGTGGAACCTGTGACTGAGCAAGGACACCAGTGGCCAAAAGACCAGGCACACTAGTGCCAGAGACGGTTCCCGGTTCATAGCACCGCCATCAGCCCATGTGGTGACCACCTTTCCTTTCCCCATCCCTCTCCTCCTGAACGTCTAAGGAGGCTGAGCTGAGCCAATACACCACCAATCCCCTTCCTCCACCACATGCACATGAGAATGACTGGCAGCAGGCCATCCCACATTTCCCACACTCCCCTTGAGTTATCCTTTCTCCCTTCTTCCTCGCAGGAGACACTTGTACAGATAAGGAGGGAGATTAAAACGAGGAACACAGTATCTACCAATCCAAACCTTATGGTACCTTACTCCCTAAAGCCCACTGTGCAGAAGAGAGCTCACAGGGCCACCTGTCCACACTCTGCCACCCTTAGTTCAGGGACCTGAGGACCTTCCAGGGGTCCATAGTCTCTAAGACGTCTTATCAGACTCCAGGAAAGCCACCAAGATCAGAGAAGAGGTCCTTACCTTTGACTTTTCTTCATCAGCATCAAAGATGGAGCTCTTGGGCCAGGGAGAAGGTGGGGGTAAGATTTTGTCCATTGGTAGTTTGGGATCTTGCTTTATGACTCCTAAAACATGCAATTTGCCAAGTTAAGATACTGATGTGGGTACCCAAAGACTTCAGAACCTCCTGCTTCTTGATGTACTACAAGGAAAGCATGACCAACAACCTTAGTGCTCAAGACCATGGTATGACCAAGGCTGTGTGTAATCTCTCAGGAGAAGCCAGGAACCTGCACAAAGGCAGGTACATCAGAGTGTGTGTGTGTATGTGTGTGTGGGGGGAGGAGGGGAACGGGACATGTGACTAACAAGAAAATGACCGTAGCCATGTAAGCAAGAACAGAACAGACACCAAGGCCAACAATCGGTGGGCGTCATGCTATAAAAACACTGACCATTTCAGGCAGGTGCCTATTGGCCCCACAGACCAGACATTACTACAAGATCCCTGATAAAACTCCTAACAATATCCACTGGGTGCAAGTGACAGGTTCCTTCTGCTAAAGAGCCCAAAGGGAGGAGGAAGGCAGACATCTTCCTCATAGGACACAAAAAGGTGGGAAGAGCATCAATCAGTCCTTTCCCACCCCCCACCCCCCACTAACAAACTGCAAATTCACAACTCTGCTGAAATTCATTAGCATGCTGAGATCACAGAGCAGCCAATTAACCTAAACTCTGAAGAGAATTGAGTCAGCAGCAGGAAAAGCAATGTGACTTAGCAAGAGAGACCGCAGCACTTCTGGGGACCAAACAGCAAAAAGAGATTAGCCTCACTCAGGGCTGTGACCCTACAGGGCAGCCCAGAAGTGCCCCATAGGGTGGCCAAGGCTGTAAATCTTCGTAGAAGCAGACTACTACATCTTTCTTCCACGGGCAGCTGGGAGATTCAAACTGCCAATCTTTAGGCTAACAGTCAAGTACTCTTACCACTCTGCTATCATTACTCCAGGGAAAGGTCTGACGCCTCACCTAAATCCCTCTCACCTATCATTCAACTGAACAAAGGCGGCACACTGCTTTGGGAACAACCATAGCCCCTGCAGCCTTAGAACACTGGAAGGACTCACTGCAGTTGGGGAAAGAAAACCAAACAGGGCACAAATTATATCCTTGGCCAACAGAGGCAGAAATATCCATCCTGGGCCTCCACCCACAGTTAGGAAATATCAAGTAGGTCCTATCCCAAGACCCAAAGGCATGGGGCCTACCTAAGACTGAGGCCAAGTCTGAATGAAGGAAGACTCACAGAGTAACAAGCACGGAGTAACAAGTTAACAGCTCTTCTCCATGTACTCTAAGGTACACGGCAGAGAGCAACCCTAAAGCTGAGAGAGAACAGTGAGGAAAACCCTGTAACAAATTCGCCTCCACCCTAAGTTCAAGGTAACACCGAGGATTTCAAGCCTGGTATACTGAAAGTCCCAGCGTGGTGCTGTAGTATAAGCATTGGACTGCTAACCACCACAAACTTGGCAGTTCAAACCCATCAGCTGCTCCTTGGAAACCCTATATAAGGTCTCTATGAGTCGGAACCAATCCAGTGGCACACAACAATAATAATGCTGCCAAGTCTTACTGTGGTGGCTTCCAGAGGGTAATCCACAGTTGACTGGTTCAGCAGAACTTTCATACTAAGAAACAACTGGTAATCGATTCCTGAAAGAATTAACCAATGACAGCTTTACGGAACACAACAGAATACTACCCAATACAATGCTGGGAGATCAGCCTCCAGGCTGGAAGGCACTACACAAACACAACAGCCACAACAATGAACTCAAGCACATTAATGACCATAAGGATGGAGTAGGTCCAGGCAACATGTTCTGTTACAACACCATGTCAACAACAACATACTGAGAGTACCTATAGCCATGTTCAACCTCAAACCCAGCTTAACATGTGACCAGACAGACTCAATCTCCCAAACTCATGGCCATGAGAGGTATGCCTATTTTCAAGCATAAAAATTCTTTATGTCCATTCCTACCGTCCAACACAAGATGTCCAACATCCTTCCCACCCCCCCAATTACAAGGCATATAAAAAACAAGTAACACATTATCAACAGAGATGCAACCTGACTAGTGAAGTCAGACCTTGTTTCTTCAGCATTTGATAGGCATCTCGGATCTTGATGTCTTCTGGGAACCAGACCGTCCAACTAAAAAGGATCTCAATGATTCTTCCTTTTACTTTTTCTGTGGTCCAGGACCCTAAGTACTGAAAGGAGAGAGGATTACACAGCTGAATAGGATTAGGGGACAATCTAGCCAGACACAGCAGCTGAGACCCATGGCTGGTTAAAAGCTAAGGCCAAGTCCCGCTGCTTTCTGGGTTTCAAGGAGTCCATCTCCAGAACTGCTCACATTAGTGACACCATCATATAGTAAGCTAGGTCAGTGCGACAGGGGAAGAGCCATTGTTTATGACTAGTGAAACTAAGTGCTCGATTAATTATTGGCGAGAGCCAGACAATATTGCAAGTGCTAAGAAGGCAGATGCAGAGAACAAGGCAAGAAGTGATCTGAGCATTTTTTGCCACCATCTACTGCGAGAATGAAGACCATTCTCAGCAACCAGACTGTTGACATTCCAGAGAACGTGGACATCAAGTCTGAAGGGCCGCACAGTCATTGTGAAGGGCCCCAGGAGAACCCTGCGGAGCGACTTCAATATATAACTCAGCCTCCTGGAGAACAAAAAGACGACGCTTTGTATTGACAAATGATGGGGAGACAGAAAGGAACTGGCTACAGACCGTACCATCTGTAGTCATGTGCAGAATATGATCAAGGGTGTTACAATGGGCTTCTGGGACAACATGAGGTCTGTGGAGGCTCACTTCCCCATCAACATTGTTATCCAAGAGAGTGGGTCTCTTGTTGAAATCTGAAACTTATTGGGTGAAAAATACATTAGTAGGGTTCAGATAAGGGCAGGTATTGCTTGTTCAATATCTCAAGCCCAGAAAAGATTAATTCTTGAAGGAAATGACATTGAACTTGTATCAAGTTCAGCTGCTTCAATTTAGCAAGCCTCAGTTAGAAACAAGGATATCCGAAAACTTTTGGATGGTATCTATGTGTCTGAAAAAGCAACCGTCCAACTGGCTGATGAGTAGGATATAAAACCTATCCAGCTATGGAAACAAGGCCTGGTGATTCATTCCTAAGACCAACTGGTGATATTTTTGATGTAATAAAATTTATCTAACCATCAAAAAAAAAAAAAAAAGTGATATGAAAAGTACCAACTCTCTCTTGCTATCTCCACCAGGAGATCTGGGTCTCGCACTGAGACTTCCTCTAGGCTGCCCAGCCATAAGGGAGAAGCTGAAAATGCTAGCAATCGAATGACAGCTGCTGAGGATGACCATCATCCGAGCCTTCAGAGAAAGATGCCTTCACATGCAGGACCCTCTCAGACCTCTCAGAGGCCTGAGCCAAGCCGGCAGGGTCAGCCCCTGCACAGCCCGCGAGAGGTGAGAGGAGTCTGTAGGTTGGGGACTGGTGGAGCACAGTGGGAAGGATGGGTCTGAGGGGCCTCACCTTTGGGGACAGCACTTTGATCAGCTCATTCAGGAAGCGGAACTTGGCCACCTCGTTGTGAAACTTCTCTCCACAGTGGTTCATGCACATCTCAAGCACCTGCTCAGACACAGGCCCCCATGAGAAGGGGAGCCAGGGGCTCCAGGGTAGCCCTAGATGCTCCTGACCACTAGCACGTCTCATGACTTTAGTGGAACCAAGGCTAATACTGTCTCAAGCCTATGACGACACTGAAGTGTTCTGACTTTTTCAGAAATGCCATTAGATCTTGCAGTAACTGCCGGGTCTATGTCCAGGACACAGCTCAGTGAGGTGTGTGTGCCCTGAGGTAGAGCCACATTTTAGGGAAAGGCGTCAGGCAGGTGAAACTGGTCGGAGTTATCTGACATGTACTGTCCAACAACTATTAAGCCAGAGGCCCCCACTGGCCTATACAACCAGGCCTACATCTTTCCTGGGGGACACAAAGTTTTCAACATTTCAAGTTAGTTATCAGCATCCTAAATGTCAGAGAATCACAATGAAAATATGGATTTCTGGCTTCTCCTGGAAAACGGAAGGTTTTAGCAACACCGGGTCCAAACCCACACCTGGGAGGCAGTTGTCCTGTTTAGACTGGGCATGTGATGCCCATTTCTGAGGTCCTTACCCAGAGACTGCACTGCTATGTTATCAGACTGGCCCTGTGGGCACCTGGACTTGCCAGTGCAAGCCTAAAAAGGGAAAGGAATTAAAATCTTCCTATCGGGGCAGCACTTCAGGATAATGCACTGCATCACAAGGTCAGCCTGAACTGCAAGGTCGGCAGTTCAAACCCACCAACCACTCCTTGGAAACCCTATACAGGATCCGTTGTGAGCTGGAACTGACTTATGGCAATTGAGAACAACAACATCGGTTTCCCAAAGTGCTGCTCTAAAGACACAGATCTAAGACAAGGCAATGTGAGCCCAAGACTGCCTGCAGCCTACCATTCTCAGGACCTGTTGTTGTTATATACCGTGGAGTCGGTTACAACTCATAGTGACCCTGTACAGGGTTTCCGAGGCTATAAATCTTTATACGGGAGCAGAAAGCCTCATCTTTCTCCCATGGAACAGCTGGTAGTTTCGAACTGCTGACCTTGTGGTTCGCAGCCTGATTCCTAACCATTACACTACCAGAGCTCCTTCTCAGGATGTGCGAAAAGGTGAAGAGAGACTGGGGCAGCAGCAGAGTTCCCCCAGCCATTTCTCCAGCATCAGGACAGGAGGCTACGGGCAAGTCACACTCACCATTAAGGCATACAGAGCTTCCTTCTCTTGTGGAGACTGGATCTTGTGGGCCAGCAGCCAGGGTGCATGTGTTGAGCTAAAACAGAGACCTGGACTCTGAGTTGTCAAGCGGCGTGTGCTGGGTGAAGGCATCTCTCCCTCAGGGCAGAGGTGGACTGTGAGTGGCACACAGCCCAGGCCCCAGCCCGAAGGGGGTCCACTCCCACCTATCCTTATACCCACAGCCCAAATGCCCTCCTTCTGTCCAGGACACACCCTCCCCTCTTCAACCAACTGACACTGAAAACTGCACAACTGGACAGTCAGGCCCAGCCCCCAGCTAACCCTGAACACCACCATCCCTGTCTGTTGAAGTATAAATGCTCAGTAAACCTTTCAGAATTTCAAAAATAGGAGAACATCCCACAATATGTAGATTAAACATCAGGATGAATTTCAGTCCCTACCCTATCTGGATGTTTGGAAACAGACAAGTCAATAAAACCTCACCCCTTTCTGGTTTTCATCACCCAAGAAGATTCCATTTCAGTGATAGAGGCTATGGTGGTTGGTCTCTTTCGTATAACTGAGTTGTGTTTTTTGGCAACACCCAGAATTCTACAACACTCCTTCAATTTTTCTAATAATCGCCAAATTACAAAGTGACTATTCTGGTTGGTTTGTCTTAATGTCATGAAGTGGCTATTTTTTGAGCAATAAAGTTAAAAACAGCAACAAGCCCAGCTGTGTGAAAGAGTCCCGAGGGACCGAGGCACACACTTAGAGGAGTCGAGCACATGTGTGTGAAAGCCATCATACCCGTTTGGATCAGTGTTCACCTGCTCACAGAAATTCTGGATAGCCGACCAATCCTGCTCTGACATGCTGGGGTCTGTGGCTTTATCTGTCAAGGATATAAAACATAAAATCAGAGAAAGTATAATAAAAAGAAGCACAGCAAAACATGCTAGCCTTGAGAACTATACTCTCTCCAAGGAGCATGATGGAATCAAACAGACAAGAGCGACTCCAGAGACTACCCAGGAAGCTTAGGGGGCAGTGAGTTCATGCTGAGGAGGAGAAACAACTCAGAAAAGGAAGGTCAGAAAGACTGAACAACTTGAAGAATGTCATTACTGTCACAAAATCATCCATGTGCTAACTGCTGTGGATACTTTGCTGTGTGTGTATATTTCTCACAATAAAACAAATTTCAAAATTTTTGAAAAAGAAACACAACAAAATCCAAACCCATAGCCTTTGAGTCAATGCCAACTCACAGCAACCCCTACAGAACAGAGAACTGCCCCCCACCCCCACTGGGCCCCTAAGGTTGAAAGCTTTAACTTAGCAGACTGCAGCTTGCAGGCTCAAACAGCCAGCCTTTCAGTTAGCAGCAAGTGTTTAATTACTGTGACACCAGGGCTCCTGGGGGGGGGGAGGGGAGGGAGAGAAATACACCCCTTTAAGACCTGAGACATCACACCCTTAGGTGTGATGGGATCCAGACAAGGATCCCGCCTATGTTGTAGGGTAAGCACAGTGGCTCCACTTCCGGTATTCCCTACCAAGCCTTGTGGAAGGAGGGGTCAGAGGCAGCTTCTCCTCTCTGCCGACAGCTGCTGGCTAGAATCCCTGTTCACAGTCCAGGGAGGAGGCCCACTCCTCACTCTGCAGGGTCAGCACGCTTTGCCTCCAGACGGACCCTGACCATTCTCTCACCAAGGAGTTGCCAACACATTCTTCATGCAGTCCTTGCTTAAAACTTCCTAGCGCCCTGAATGCCCAGTCTCTCAGTGGAATACCTTGCAGGTCCTGGCAGAGTAGCTCATTCTCAGGGTCATATTTCTAGTGGGATTATTCCTCTTGCCCAAATGTCCATGTCTCTCCTCCCAAATCCCGATCTATCTCCAGCAAACCTCCTCCCACTGCTACAGTGCAACTAATCCTCCTCCCTTCTACCTAATCCTACCTAAGACTGCAAAATCAATCTAGAGCTTAACTTCCTGCCTGCAGCCACAGGCATGTCATGTGGAAGTCCTGTGCTTCCCCAGCTCAACTGTGAGAATCAAAGGCTGACTCCATTCTAAGTGAAACAGTAACAACAGGACTAAGGAGATGGAAGGAATCAGTGATCAAATACCCACAGGCCCCTCACCATTCCTTGTCCTCAAAGTTCTTTCCATTTATCCCACCTCTCAAAATCTTATCAGCCCTTTTAATGAACTGAACTGTGTCCCCAAGAAATACATGTTGTAAATCCTAACCTCTATGCCTAGAGTTGGAGTCCTGGTGTGGCACTGGGGGTTAATGCACTGGACTGCAGAGTCCGTTTGAACCATTCAAGCTTACCAGCTGCTCCTGGGACACCCTAAGCCTAGGATTATAATACCATATGGGAATGGGTTGTCTTTGTTATGCTAATGAGATGGTACTTAATGTTTTTTGTGATATAAAAGAGATTCAAAAAGCAAGCAGACATGGGAGCACAAATCCTCATCTTAAAAAGTTGTAAAAAATGGGGGAGTAATTAATCTTATAGTACAGAAACAGAGGACCCTAGGACCACCAAGAGAGAAAAGTTCAAGCAGAGTGCAGGACCCTATCCAGAGAAGCAGTGACACCTAAGATAGAGGCAGAGATGGGGACATTGAGAGAGGGAGCAGCTGAGGACTCTGGACTCATGGAAAGAGAGGGACTGTGTGCTGGGGGTCGGGAGGCAGGCTTGCAGAATGTGCTTCTTGGTTGTTTAAATTATTTTATATTCCTGAGTGTTTCTGTGTACATCCCTCCTCGACCAAAAAAACAAAAAAACAGGGAATAAATGGAAATACTGTTGAATGATGACACACGGAGAAGATTGTAATCATTGCATTGAAACAATGGTGTAAAGCTGATGTGCTCCCATGTAAACTATCACTCAGTTCACAATAAAAAATAAAAAAAAAAAAAGGCAAGCAGAAAAAAAACAGAGGGAATGGAAACAAATACTGCTGAATGATGAAGCACGGAAATTGTAATCATTGCAATAAAACACTGGTGTAAAGCTGATGTTCTCCCATGTAAACCATCACTCAGTTCACACAAAAAAAGGCAAGCAGAAGAGATGGGGGATGCATGGAAGTGACTGTAATCACTGCAGTGAAATGAAATATGATAGGATGAGTATAAAACCAATGTTCTCACATATAAACTATCACTCAGTTCACAGTAAAAAACCTCAACAACAAAAAAGGAAGAGATAGGGGTAGACAGACGGCAAGCCACATGGACATCTCCAAGAAAACAAGCTGAAGCAACCAAGACCTTTCCCCCAAGCTGATAGACAAGGTCTTCCCTTGTTGTTTTTCACTACTGTCAAGCCAGTTCCGATTCATAGCGACTCTATAAAGGGTTTCCGAGAAGTAGCCAGTGAGTTTGAACCACTGACCCTGAAGTCCAGTACATTATCCTACAGCAGCACACCAGGACTACAGCCTCAGGAAGCCTATGCAGAATCACTACAAGTAGGAACCGACATAAGGAAGGTGTGTTTCATTCACCATAACATCCTTCAACACCTGCACAGATATCTACTAAATCAATGAACAATGCATCCTTTGCTCTATGCAAGGTTTATCCAGTGGACTGGACATATTGCTCACTCCCAAAATCAAACCCATTACGATCAATTCCGACTCATAATGACCCTATAGCACAGAGTACAAGATTGAAAGATTTTACAAGGGCTGACAATCTTATGATTCTTACAAGCAGTGGTGGGTAAGTTTGAACTACTGAACTAGCAATCAGCAGTCCAACACTTAACTCATGATGCCACCAGGGTTTCTCATTGTTGATACAGGAGATGTTATTCCAGTTCTGAAATAGCTGGGTCTCTGAACACAAATTCCCATCCTGCCCAATCTAATTTAGGTACTATGTGCCACTACAGGAACCCTGGTGGCAGAGTGATTAAGTGCTTGGCTGCTAACCAAAAGCTTGATGGTTCAAACCCACCAGCTGCTCGGCAGGGAAAAGACATGGCAATCTCCTTCTGTAAAGACCAGAGTCTTGGAAGCCCGACTAGGCAGTTCTACTCTATTCTACGGGATCACTATGCTTAGGAATCAACTCAGCAGTAACAGTTTGGTTTTTGGTTGGAGCAGTGTTGCAGACCGTGTAAGCCTGGTCAGAAGTTTGAGGCCCTATAGGCCCGAGTGTTACAGGTCGCAGGCTCTGAGGAAAAAATTCTGGCCACTTGGCAGTTAACAGCAAATTGTTTTTCATCTTAGCGTTCAGTTATATTTATTTAATTCTAAACATGAGTCCACAGATAAATGTAATATTTTCCTAAAGCCAAAGACTGTAAAGGTTTCAAAGGTCAAACCTTTTTCCAAAGGATTAACTGAAAATAGTTTAGCTACTTCAGTTCTTTGTTCTACAGACAAAAAAAGCCATTTTCCCTAAATCTGTCCCAGGTGCAAGTTATTCAGCCAAGTTCCTGAAAACCTGGCTCAGGAAGCCAAAACAGCGGGACTCCGCCCAAGCCTTTTGTCCTTATCTCTCACCTTCCCCCAACTGAGCTCATGGGCTATAGATATGTTAATTGAGTCTGAGAATCCAAGTTGCGGGCCTGGGATTCGAACCAGTGAAGTACGATGTAAAGTTACCTGAATGTCTGGAAAATTACTGATGTTAGCTGTATCCTGTTTTAGTCCCTCCCAGCTTGGTGTGAAGCTCCTCCCCAAATAAAACAGAGGCCCAGGTCGGCCCAGGTGTGCATTACGGCTTGGAGGGCATGCAGTAACGATTGCAGGGCAGGGAGTTGCTGCCTGCAGAGGCCACGATGCCTGTAGTCCCTCGTCTGCCCACCAGTGATGCAACCACCCTGGTTTCTGGGTGCCTCTTTGTTTCTCTTGTTTTGTCTCTGTGTCTCTTTTGCTATCTCTATCGCCGCCAGGTATCTCCACCTCGTGAACCGAACCCCTATGTCGAGGCCAGTCCCCGGCAGAGCAGCTACAGGGAAAATGACCCAGAGGATCTGCAACTGGATCTGACCAAGTCAGTTGAACACCTATCTGCCCTAAGGAGTGGCGCACTGTGCACAAACGCATCATGCTTCCATTGACTACCACAGCCAAGTCAAGGCACTGAGAACAGCTACCTCAGGCACAAGACTATTTGTTTATATTTAGATGGCACCTGGACCAGAAAAAGGGGAGCTGAGAACGAACAGCTGTTGTTGTTGTTGCTGTTAAGTGCTGTGGAGTCGGTTTCGACACTTACAGCGACCCTGTACAGGGTTTCAGAGGCTGTAAATCTTTATGGGAGCAGAAAGCCTCATCTTTTATCACGCAAACAGCTGGTAGTTTCGAACTGCTGACCTGATTCACAGCCTAATTCAACCTCTACCAGAGCTCCTTTAAAGCAAGGTAAGACAAGTGAATTCCTTGATATGGATCTAGCTTTAGCCTTTGTAATTCCCACCAAAGGACTGCATAGAGGTTGTTCTGACTCATAGCAACCTTCTATAGTGTTTCCAAGGAGACACTGGTGGGCTTGAACTATGTGGTTAGCAGTCCAGTGCTTATCCTACAGCGCCACACCTCCCGACTATCCTGATTTCAGGACAGACAGAGCAACCAACCTGGACCAGGAGCCAGGGAAACCACTACCTTTACTGAGAATAACAACAGGGATAAATTATTTCTGTTGGGACTACTGCAGGGGCAGAACAAAACAGAGACAATGGAACCGTGGTGATATCATGGAACTTCTAGGCTGAGTTAGCCTAGCCCTAACCTGAGCTTTGCTTTTTTCTTGAGGCCAATATAAGTTTTCTATCACTTGCAACTAAAAGCTAATGACAATACCTAGCACTTACTGCTGACTTGCTCCTCACCGGGCACTGTTCTAAATGCTTTACAAGTAAGAACTCCTTGGATCCTCACAACCACCCAAAGCTAGGTTTGTGCTACTCCTATTCCCAATGTAAAGACACTGCTGCCTTGTTTACTGAAGCGAGATCTGCCAATGACTTGGGCTCAACCTTCCTCTGCCCCCATCTAGATTCATTTCCTTTTCCATGGGGCCTAGATCTAAGTGACTCCCTTTACCACATCGCTGTCCTCCCACACCATCAGCCCTTCAACCCCCTTGTCCTTCCACTACACCTCCTCTACCTCCCCAGAACTCTCCCCCAGCAACTCTGGTTTAAAGACACAGCTCACCTTCTCTGTCCCCACAGTTGGAGAGAGGAAAATCGCACAACTATACATTTCTAATGTCCCATCAACACTCCACCAGCCTTCTAATGTGATGGATCTCAAGTGTGGGGAGGTAATTGTGCCTCTCGCCTCCCAGAAGGTATTTGGCAACCTCTGGAGATACTTTTTGTTGTCATGACTGCGGAGAGGAGTGTGCTACTGGTATCTAATGGGTTGTTGTTGTTAGGTGCTCACAGGTCAGTTCCAACTCATAATGACTCTTATGTACAACAAAAGAAAACAGTGCCTGGTTCTACGCCAGGCCACACTCTTGAACACATTACTGCAGCAGCTGTGTCAACCCATCTTGAGAGTCTTCCCTTTTTCACTAACACTCTACCAACCATCTAGTGAATGTTGTTGGTGTTAAGTGCCATCGAGTTGGTTCTGAGGACACTAAATTCTACAGGATGCTGCAAAACATACTACAATGCACACAACAGCCTCTAATGAAAAAGAACTGTGGGGCCTAAAATGTCAATAGTGCCAAGGTTGAAAAGCAGTTCTTGTCCAGCTGGGCTCCCTTTTGTGCCTCTTACCAGCCATTCACAAGCATCCACATGGTCCTCAAACCCCTATTCCACCACAGCCTTAACGTTCAGCAGGTAGCCTCCTAGGTGGTAGTGTTGGTATGGGGGCAGGAAGTAGGGGGCACTGATAAACTTGCCTGAGCAATCATCTTTATCTCCTTCCCTCAGCCCTCGGAAACCAAAGGATGTCCTTCCTCTTTGTGAGCCCAAGCCGCCCCTTTCTGCTTGGCCTCTAATCTCCTGCAGTACCTTTCAGCCCCTTTCTGCCCTTAATCAAAAGGCTCTTATCTGCCCTCTCCTTTGAAGCCCCCTCTTCTTTCTTCCACATTCAAGCACCATGAAAATAAAAACTGGTGACCAGTGGCCACATCCTCCCAACAGATGAATTCTGCCTAGCCTGCACCAGCCAAATTTTCTATTTCAAAGTACTTGCCAACTTGTAAAAACTGAGATTTCACACAGAAATGCAGGTTTCTACTTCTTGAAACCCCAGAAGAGCTAGCACCTTTGGGCCCGTGTCACCCTTTTCTTGGGGCAGGGCATGAACTCTATGACATGAACTCTGATCTCCATCTGGGTCATCTGCCAGTTGTTATCTTTCCCACCCTATTACTCACTTTTTTTGCAACTCAATTTAAAACCTGTTACAGTTCTCCAAAACCAACCAAACCAAACCCTCTGCCATCTTGTTGAGACTGTAGATCTTTAAAGGAGCCGACAGACTCATCTTTCTCCTCAAGAATGGCCTCACGGTGAGCAGCCCAACACCTAACCCACAGGACCACTAGGGTCTCCACAACTCCTAAACCAACTACCTACTGTCCTCACCACTAACTCAAAGATACGTCAAAACACACTTTAGTCACTAGTATCAGGCTTTCTTTATCTTTCCTCATCCTACTCCATTTTCCACATCAAAACTACCAGCCACGCCCTTCCTTTGATATCTGGCTCTCCCCTACACCCTGTCTTCAGGCTGCTCCTCTAACAACCCCTTGAAGGCTAGGGTTTCCATGTTCCATGTCCAAACCTCTGCTTTTCTGAATGTACACACCCCTCCCTAGGTAAGCAGATTGCCAGCAAGCTGCTGACTCCCAAATTCTACCTTGAGGTCGGATCCTCTCTGGAGCTAATCAATTGCCTAGAGCGCTGCTTTTTTTTTTTTTAAATAACATTTTATTTTGATTTCAGTGAAGACTTACACAGCAATTTAGGCTTCCATTCAACAATTTCTAGCTAAGTGGTTCAGTGACACTGGTTACACTCTTCACAGTGTGTGAACATTCTCACTTCCGTCCTGTTACCTGTCACCTGCCATTCGCAGTCTTTCTTTTAAAATAACTGTTGACCATTTGGTTTCTTATGTTTTTTTAAAGGAGCACAGAATTGAGCAGTAATAATCGTTATATTTTAAGCCAATTTACTATTTAGCTATAAAGTGACCTTAGAAGTTAGTTTAAGAGAGCATTTCTTCTTGAGTGCACCAGAGCACCTCAAACTCACAACTACTTCTTTCTTCCTAACCCAGGCAACCGTAACCACTCAACTAAGCCTGAAACCTAGGGTCCATCCCAGCTTCCGCTCTCTTGCCTCTATTCCAAATCATCAAGGCTGCTGACTCCACCTGTAGCTTCCCAAAGGGCACTACTGCTTTTGCCTCTAAATATTATTAAACAGTTTAACCAGCCTCCGAGGGGGCAAGATGAGACTGTCTGCTCCTGCAACAATTTAGTCTCAGCAATCCTATACAGACAAGGTCGCTGAGTCAGAATCCACTCCATGACAGTGGAGACATTTGGTTTTTGGTTTTGGTTTTCTGCAGCATACAAGACTTCAGTGATCTTGTCTCAATTAGCTGTGCAGCCTCATTTCCACATTCTTTGCTCTTTAGAACTTGCATTCCAGCAACACTTCTTGTTGTTGTTGTTGTTGTGTGCCGTGGAGTCGGTTCCGACTCATAGCGACCCTGTACAGGGTTTCCGAGGCTGTAAATCTTTACAGGAGCAGAAAGCCTCATCTTTCTCTTGCAGAACAGCTGGTAGTTTCAAACTGATGACCTTGAAGTTCGCAGCCCAATTCGTAACCTCTACGCTACCAGACCTACTTCTAGTCACCAGAATATTCTGCATTTTCTTGTCCCTCAGCTTTTGTAAAGGTGGTAGCACAGAATACAACTGCTTCCTTTGTCCACTCAAATGCTATGTGTGTTGTGACATTTCCCAAGTAACTAACTCCTACCACCACACCAGAACCCCTCTCCCATTCTGGTTAATTTTAGGGTATTTGTACCCACTAAAAAAGGAGTCTATGCCAGTAAGGGGCCTGTGTGACCAATCTCAGAATCCCCAGCAACTACACAGAGCCCCGCACACCAACCTTTAGCTTGCAATGCAAGGGACATATTCCTTATCCTTTCAGGACCTCAATTCCTCATCAGTAAAACAAGAGCACTGGTGTGGCACTGTGGGTTAATGCTCTGGAATGCAAAGTCAGTTTGAACTGCAAGGTCGGTGGTTCAAGCTCACCAGCCACTCCTTGAAAACCCTATACAGGATCGCTATGGGTCTGAATTGATTTGATGACACTTAACAACAACAGCCTTTTCTTTGGAATCCTGGTGTGGCAATGTAGGCTAAGCAGTGGACTGCAAGGTTGGTTTGAACCTTTAGGTCAGAGGTTCAAACTCACCAGCCACTCCTCGGAAACGTTATAAAGCGATTGTCCTGGACCTTACAGGGGACAATACACATCAGAAGTCTGGTTACAAAAAACATCTACAAGAGGCAGACTTAGGGATTGTTTGGCCTTAAAGGCAGCAGCAAGATAGAGAACTTTATCAGCTCCAAAGAGATTGTAAGAGGCTGCGGTCCTAATGAGGGTCATTTCTCCGTTGCTGGAAGAAGTGCAGCCAGAGTGCTCCTTGGAGGCCAAGATGACCAAACTTCACCTCTCATACTTCCAACATATTGTCAAGAGAGACCAGTCACTGGAGAAGGATATCATGTTTGGTAAGGTGGAGGGTCAGAGAAAAAGAGGAAGACCCCCAACGAGATGGATTGGCCAAGTGGCAGCATCGATGGACTCAAGAATGACAACAGTAGTGAGGTTGGCCCAGGATCGGGCAGGGTTTTGTTCTGTTGTGCATAGGGTGGCTATGAGTTGGTACCAACTCCATGGCACCTAACATCAACAACTGGTCATTTAGGAGTCCTGGCGCTGTGGGCTAATGCGTCAGACTGCAAAGCCGTTTGAACTACAAGGTTGCTGGTTCAAGCTCACCAGCTACTCCTTGGAAACCCTATGCAGGGTCACTATGGGGTGGAATCGACTCCATAGCACTTAACAACAAAGAGGGTCGGGAGTACCTGTGCTGTGGGTTAATGCACTAAACTGCAATGTCGGTTTGAACCGCAAGGTCGACGGTTCAAGCTCACTGGCCGCTCCTCGGAAACCCTATGCAGGGTCGCTATGGGTCAGAACCGACTCGACGGCACTTAACAACAACAACGAGGGTCAACAATAGCTGAAACGTTTTCAGCACAATGCCGGCCATGGGAAGAACGAAGGCCACTACCAGGGTGGAGGGGCGCGGCGCTCCCTGCCACAAATCTGCAGAGCCCGCGGCCTCGGGAGACCCTCCCACACGCACCGAGCTCCAGGCCCCTTCCCGGGCGCTGGGCCCGCCCCAAGGTCCGAAGAAAGGCGAAGGGAGGCGGGGAGGCAGGCCTCACGTGGAGCGCGACGCGGCGTCCCACTTCCCCGCCGTTACTCACTGAGCCACAGCTCCAGGGCCGCCGCCGACCCCGGGGACCTCTCGGCAAACTCGGTCCCCTCGGCTGGCCCGGACCCCGCTGCCACCACAGTCGCCGCCATCGATGGTGCCAGCGCCGTTCAGACCCCTCAGAACTGCCGCTGCCCCCGCGGCCAGGCGCGCTCCTGGCTGCCGACGCGGCAGGCGTGTCGGCACGTGACGGGCAGACTCACGCAGGCCCACTAGGCACCGCCTCTCCGCGCCCTCTGCGCACACCAGCCCCAGCGTGTTACGTGCGCTTTGGAAATGCGGTCTCCCGATAAAATAAAATTCAAGTTCAGATTAGCAACTGACACTCTTAAATGTTGTTGTTAAGTGGCATCGAGTCGGCTCCGACCCATAGCGACCCTGCATAGGGTTTCCGAGGAGTAGCTGGTGAGATTGAACTGCCGACTTTGTGGTCTTTACGGTCTAGTGCAATAACTCTCAAGAGCCACACCAGGACTCCTTTTTAGTGTATGGATATAAAAACAACATGTCGTACTATGAGGGAGCGTGGAGACGCTGTATGATAAGCGCTGTACTGCAAACTGCAAAGTCCGCGGTTCGAGCCTCCAGCCAGTCAGCGGGAGAAAGATGAAGCTTTCTGCTCCCACAAAGATGTACAGTCTCAGAAACCCTATCAGGGTCGCTATGAGTCGGAACGGACTTGATGGCACATAACAATGTCATATTTGGTGGCTAAGTGGACTCCAGGAGCCCCTTCATTTGGAGTTCTGTGAAATCTATTAGCACTATTGCAGTCTCTGATTCTGATTGTTTGGGAACTGTCCTGGTACCATGCTGTAGGATAAGCACTAGGCTGCTAACGCAATATCAGCAGTTCAAAGCTACCGGTCTCTCTTTGGAAACCCTGTACAGAGTTGCTATGAGTCGAAACTGACTCGGTGACACTAACAACAACAAATGAAGTATAGTTTTCCTCTATGGGTGACATTTACTAGATTTAGCAGAGGATCTGGTACACAGAGAGTCATTGTCATTCATTCAGCTGGAGTTTCATTATTTCCAACTACACGGGTGTTACAGGCTGCATCCCTCAGATGGAAATACATATGGCTGGATTTGTTTTGGAGCTCAAATTGAAACTGCAGTTGACTCAGCAGACTCCACTGGTAAGTAACATTAATGGAAAGTTCTTCTTGTCTATAAACAGGAAAAGTTTCTGTTTCTTTAAGAGACAACTCTCCACCAGTGGAAAACACAGTGTTGCTTCCATTTGTACATTGATTTCAAAATTCCTGACACATGATGTCTACTCTGTGGATTCTCCTTTGAACTAATTTTAAACATCTTACCAGTTTCTTCACTAGTAATTAAAATCTTTAATACACTCTCTCGTTTTTATCTCTGTCACAATTTTACTCTTTTTTTATGAAGGTCTTACAATAGCCGTATTGTGGTCACTGTTTTGTGCTATCCAGGTGAATCTCAACCCCTGGTGACAGAAGAACTCCACATATGGTTTTCTAGGCTGAGATCTTTACCTTAAGCCAACTGCCAAATTGTTCTCCTGTAAGAGTGCCTGATAGATTCAAACCGACTGCCTTTTGGTTAGCAATTGGGTGCTTAACTGTTGCACCACCAGGGGACCTTATTATACTCTTTTTATGTTCGTTTGTCAAATGTGGAAACTAAGTCACTGAGCAGTTAAAGAACTTACTGAAAAACAGAGCTTGGAGGTCAAGTCTGACTTCCTTCAGCTTCACAAGGGGAACAACCCACTGCCGGTGAGTGGATCCTGACTCATAGTGAGCCCGTATATGGTTTCTGAGGCTGTAAATCTTTATAGGAAAAGAAAGCTTCATCCTTCTCCTGCAGAGCAGCTGGTAGGTTTGAACTGGTGACCTTGAGGTTAACAATCCAGTGCTTACTACCCAGAAAGAATCACTCAAACAAAATCCTGACCTGGCTCACCATCTTCTGCAGCCTAGGGCATCAATAGCCTTTCATCTGACCCGGCCAGTTTGGAGTTCTCAGCTCCTGAGACAACATGGATGAGGAGAATCCTCCAGACTGATCGCTGAACTATGGATTTGGGACTTGCCAGCCTCCACAATTGCTTGAAGGAGCTCTGGTAGCATAGTGGTTACAAATTGGCCTGCGAACCTTAAGGTCAGCAGTTTGAAACTACCAGCTGTTCCACGGGAGAAAGATGAGGATTTCTGCTCCCGTAAAGATGTACAGCCTCGGGAACCCTGTACAGGGTCGCTATGGGTCGGAACAACAGAATTACTTGAGTCATTTCCTTAGACAGTTGTGAGTTCTGTGAGATGTTGGAGTGTGTTGCAGAACCCTGGGACTTGAGGGAGGGGAGAAGTGGTGATCAATATCAAGGATATGGTGTAACGTTTTGGAAAAGTCAGACGTTTGGGATCTTTATAACCTCCACCTCATAGGGACCAGGCTGATGATGATCTTTCTAAAAGAAATTATTCATGCAGGTAAGCCTACGGTGTCTTGTCGTGCCAGAAAGTAAGGAAATGGTCAAACAGACTCCCACTGATTGAGGTTATCAAGGGGACACAGGAACAGACTGAAAGAACTGCTAGTGACCAAAGTTGGCACAATTTAAGCAACAAAGTAAAGTAAAGTAGTACTGGTTAAGAGATGGGCTGTAGATTGAAAGGTAGACAGTTTGAGCTCACCAGCTGTTTCTCAGGAGAAAATGAAACAGTCAGCTTCCATAAAGATTTACAGGCTCGGAAACCCTGTGAGACATTTCTACTCTGTCAAATAGGGTTGGCTATGAGCCAGAATCAACTCAACACTAGTGGGTTTTGGGATTATAACCTAAAATAGAAGATAAATATTCACGAATTCATGTTGACATAAATAGATGATTAAATTAAAAAATGAATGGGAAAGACAAATCTCCCATGCACAAAAAATTTCAAATAATTTTTATAACCCTGTGAGACTAAGATCTATTTGTGGCAGGGGGCTTATCTTTTTTCATTAAAAAACAAAAAAACTTTTATTGTGAATTGAGTGAAGGTTTGAAGATCATCAGTTTTACATCCAACAAATCATATACTTTGCTTCACTACAATGATTGAAATCCCCTCCATGTACCATCAGTTAGCAGTATTTACCTCTATTCGCTGCTAATCTCAAGATCAGCAGTTTAAAACTACCAGCTGTTCTGCAGAAGAAAGATGAGGCTTTCTGCTTCCGTAAAGACTTACAGTCTCGAAAACCCTATGCAGGGTTGCTATGAGTTGGAACCAACTCCACGGCACATCATAACCCACCACCACTTTAACTCTTGCATTCCTCCCTGTGTCTACCTTCACCTTTCCTCTGTCAACCTCCCTATTGTTGTATATTACCTGCCCAGTCACCCATGTTAACATGTCTACCCTCTGAGCCCATGAATAATTTTCCTTCCCCTGTAACATAACCATCATAGAAAGTTTCTTTAATTAAGAAAACTCTTAATTTTTTACAACAGTGGTCTTATACAATATTGGTTCTTTTGTGATTGACTTCACTCAGCAGGTTTATCCATGTTGTGAGGTGTTTTTCAGATTCAACATTATTCTTCAACATTGCATAGTATTCCATTGTGCGTATATACTAAATTTTGCTGAGCTATTCTTCTGTTGATGGTTACTAAGATGGTTTCCAAATTTTTGCTATTGTGAAGAGTGTTGCAATGAACTTGTGTGTGTGTGTGTGTGTATATATGTATATATATCCTATTTCTTGAGATATACACCTAGTGAAAGATCCATAATAGTGGTTTTTTATTTTTGTTTTTTGATTATTTTTTATTTATTATTTTTATTGTGAATTGAGTAATGGTGTACAAAGCCGATCATCAGTTTGACATTCAACAAATCATATACTTTGCTTCATAGTAATGATTACAATCCCCTCATGTACCAACAGGTAACAGGAAGGAACATGACATGCCCAAGGATCTAAGGAAAACTAGCATGGTTGAAGACCAGACACGTGGGCATGAGTGTTGCAGGAATGAGCAAGCAGCTGGAAAGTCAGGCAGAGCCAGAGCTGGTAGGGCATTATAGGTCAACCCAGGGCTTGAACTGCAAGCCAGAGACAGAGCACATGCGTGCCATCCCATAATATGTCCTGCCAGTGACTCCCAGATTCCTTCACAGCCGATTCCATCTTGGACAAAACCAACTCCCTTCTGAACCCTTACTTCATGTGCACATAATTTTCCTAGCCGCTCCCCTTCCCCACCCCCATCTTTCCCAGGAAGTTTCACAAATAAACATGAGAGCCTTTCCTTCCTCCCCTGCCCAAGAATCCTTTAAGGACCCCAACCAACCAAAGACTCAGGGAGATGAGGGCTAGTGTTGCCTAGGGCCCTCCTTGTCGCCTCTGGCCAGATCTTTTCCTCTCAATAAATCTTAAAATCTTCTGCTTGTGTGAAATGTTCTGTCTAACCTGATCACTGGAACCCTGGTGTGGTGCTGTGGGTTAATGCGCTGGACTGAAAAACCTATTTGAACTGCAGAATTGGTGGTTCAAGCTCACCAGCTGCTCCTCAGAAACCCTATACAGGGTCACTATGGGTCGGAACTGACTCAATGACACTTAATAACAACAACAACAAAACGGATGATTCTTGATCAGCAAAGACAAGGCTCCTCCAATGAAGGGTTGCCCCTAATAACACCCTAATAACATTTTCAGAAAACATAAATCTGATGTCACTTCCCTGCTTAAAACTTTTCAATGGCTTCACAGCTTCCGTCTCATCAAGATCCAATCCCTTGTCTTCTCTAACTGAATTCTGCACTTTGTTCAGATACCTACCACTTCCAACCCAGCCAAGCATCTCAAGACAAAGCTGATCCCACTCAAGGCACAGGGAGTGGATCTGAGGCTGACTCATCTATGGGAACTGCAGCAATGGACTAAGAATGAGGAAGTCTGCTGGAGGAGGGTCTTTGGAGAAAGTTTCCCTTGTGATTCTCTCACCAGACTTAAAGGAGGAAGTGCAAAGAGGCCAGATTGCTTCAGGCAGTCCATTTGGGGCACAAGAGAACCATAAACTGTCACAGAGGCTGGGGCATATTGTGGGGGA